AGCAGGAATTTTCTTATCATCCCAGGCGAACTTGACCATAGTTCATCACTGCTGCTTTTTCGTATATGCATGCGGTCACAGATACAAGAACTAAGCAGGGGTAGCATTGGTTGTATTTTGAATTGTAAATAGCCACAGTTGACTTCGAAAGAAAAGAACGGTTGCAGTCGCTCCAATTATTTTGATGTCTTGCTAACCTATATTCTAAGGACACTACTTCAGAACAATCACGAAGAATCATGTGGTGCTAGTGAAAATATATTTATTTATTTTTTATATTTGATACTAGTCTTATTGTACTAGTTATTTATATTTTATACGATTGAAGGCATTATGTGATATATCTGAATCACATTTCGGGTTTGTCAAATAAAAGGTAAACTTTCCAAAAACCATTGATAGATATATTTGTTCTCTTGATTTCTTCCATTTAGGGCAGAGGAAAGCCAAATCCTGCACAAGTTGAAGCCAATTCCATCCATGGTTTCTCATTAATTATCATACACAATATCCTAAACTCCCAATGAAATAAAATAATTTGCTGGAAGCACGGCTATAAATTTAAATCTTTAAAGGTAACTTAAAACTTATTCATATCCATACCAATATACATCGTAAATAATAAGTCAATGTTGAGAATGGGGTTTGTACCATGCATCAAATCTATTGAGTAGGAGCCTAAAAAAAGAAAGATCAAACTCTAAAATGAAAGTATTTGACATCTTAGTCATTGAAAAAAATATATATTAATTTTTTTTAATTCTTTTAAGGGATTTGATACATTTAATTTTTAATAAAATATTGACAAAATGATATTATAGGGGGACAGTATTATTCCTAATAAAGACGGTGCTGATGGCAGAAAATATATAATTTCAATGTCCAATTCTTTGCTTGGAGTTAGAAGATTTACAGCGACTTCGTCTAATAGTTGCGAAAATTAGAACTCATATCATCTTTATTGTAATTCCTGTAAATTCAAAAAAATTACAGCGACTTCATATTCGTATAGTTAGTTATCTTATTTCATAATAATTACATTGAAGTCAAAATTATGAGCTCGTAGATATCATCCAAGCAATTATCAGTTAACTAATTTGTTTAAAAATTTACAACAGCTTCATCATCGTATACTTAGCTATTTTATTTAATAATAATGATATAAGTCAAAATTATGAGCTTGGAGATATTATCCAAACAATTATCAGAGTTAACTAATTTGATTAGACCGAAGAGATTCATTACCCATTTCTTAAGAGTTAAGAGTACTTCATTTTTTTTTAATTAATATTATTATTATTGTTGTTGGGGCACAGGTGTGAGTTACATTATATCTTAAAGTATTATAAAAAATGGAAGAATAGGTTTGTATTGAGTTTAGGGGACAAAGGCATTGAATGAGTGAAACGAAAGGCGGTGGCTAAGGCCGAGGAATGCGCATAGCCGCTCACTCCTCACTCCTCACTCCTCACTCGGTTTCTTTTGTTTGGACCTTATTTAATATTTATGTTACACAATTATTCTCTATTTCTATATTTATTTTTAGACATTTTTTCTTATTTCATCTACTCTTTTCTAAATCAAGCTATGTCTTAACTATAAGCTTAAATGTTCACATCTATTTTATAACTTTACACTTTTCACCAATTACAGTTTATATATCAAATTTCTAATCATATGCGTAAAAATCATTTCTATAGGTTCAATTTGTATGATTTTTATTAGTAAATGAGTTTATTTTAATACATTATTAATGTAAAATCATTTTGCTCAGTCAATTGTAAAGTAATTATAAGAATTTAATTAGTTAGCACCCATAGTGTAGAGGAATTGGTTTAAAAATAAAAAATCTTTTAACATCAGTTGTTTTTTACATTCTAGATGGGTTTCGGGAATGGATGTAGAATCAATTGATATAGAAAGTTGGTAAATTTTTAGATGATTCTAAAACTTATATATAAATTTATTTTCTAAAATGATCGTACAGAGAACTGATTACATTTGTTGTAGCTAGAACAACTAATATAAAAGTTTACTTTCTGCATTGGAAAGGATCCTCTCCATATATTTTTTAGGTATCATTTTCTCAAAAGTTTAGTAATGGACAAATAAAAAAGACACAAACAAGGTTAAAATTTGAAATTAAGTCATAGTTCAATACAAAGAACATTACCTCGTACATAAAATAGTGAATGAGGTGTATTTTATGAGGCTAAAGTTTGAGAGACAAATACATTAATAAACATAATAGTAGATAAGTTTGATACACACTAAGGTATAAGATAAAAAGAATAAATATTTGTTATTTTATATTATTAAATAATATTAAGATTATTACGATACTCCTTTTTAATATTAGTTATTATAATAATTTTTTATTATCTTAATAGAAAATAGTGGATGATAATAGGTGACGGTGGACATGAAGACAAAGGTGACAATGATATTAATATAATAACAATGATAATAATAAATATTTTTTGTGCTTAAAATAAAAAATTGTTCATGAAAAACAAAACTTATTTACCTTTATATGTAATCTTTATTCCATCTGCTAACATTTAAAAGTTAATATTATGTTTAAAACTAATGATCCATTATCTCAAGAATCACTTTGAAAAAATATTTAAGAAATTCATTTACAATAAAATGAAAGTACATTTATTTTATTTTATTTTGAGAGGAAAACATATGTTTAAATAAAGGATAAAAATGTAATATAAACATTTCAGAGAAAAGTAAATATCTCTCTTAAAAAATAATAAGAATTGAGGCGGTCATGTCCTATTGTGAACAGCCAGAATTGGAGTTTTTTTTTAGATATATTTACAAATTTTTTTAAGAAAAAATGAAAACAAAGAAGAAGATATACATAAAATTTGCACGTGTCTTCAAGACAGGTCATTTTCATTGTGCCACCTTACCCATTATTGATTCATTTACTGCCTAGTTTAAGAATATTAATTAAAATTATTTAATATATCTTTCAAATTTTTATTTTTATTTTTAAATTAAGATATCTTTTTGTTGAAAGTTATGAACTCATTTTTCGAAATACTTTATTTAAGAGTTTAACAATTCTTTACAAATATTTTTCATATACATGATCAAGGATCAAAATCTTAATTATGTACTTTACAGATAACATTATTTATTAATTATGTCACCCTATTTTGTAAATTTTTAATTAGTTAAAAGATATTAAATAATTTTATAATTTAAAATATAATAAATATTTCAAGCTTTTATAATATGAAATTAATATAAAGTTTTTAACACCTAATCTTTAAAAAAATTGTAGTCGACCGTTTCTAATGAAGTGTCCATTCAAACTACATTATAATTCTCCAACTTGGAGTCAAATATCAACATACTCGTACAAGAATATTTATAATAATAAAAAAAATAACTATATTACAGCTTATGGTTATAAATTATAATTGTTCCAACATTCAAACAATTAATTAAGGGAGTCATCATTTTCAAATTGTGTTGAAAGCATCACCAATATGCAATCTTAAATTATTATTTTCTTTGATGATCATTTGAATAATTAAACAAAAACAGTTCAAGTTAAATATTGATATATAAAATATAGACATACGCTCAAATAAATAAATAAATAATGTTAATAGATATGTCCATGCCTCGCGATGTGTTGGTATATAATTGATTTGACCTAATTTAATATATTTCCATATCTACCCACATCGATGCTATAGACCGCAACGAAACATAGGTGAAAAGGAAGAGATTTTAGAAATTAAAACTCTTTTTTTATGAGGAAAATGATAAAAGAAGAATTTAATAACAAAAAAGTACTGAATATAAAAATGAAAGAAAAAAAAAAGGTTACACATTATATTCATACGCTATTTTAATTAGCATATAAAAAACATTATAAATTAGTAGAAAATTATTATAAGATAATGAAATAATGTTGATTGCCACATATATATATATATATATATATATACTTTGATAAAAATAACTTATTTATTATAAAATTATTCATTATAATAAACTAACGATTTTGAACTTAAGTTTTATTTAGATAAAACTTTTTTTTATCCTATTATATTATTTCAACTTCTCATCATTAAGCCAATCTTAATATTTAAATAGACTTATTCGTAAATACTTACAAGAGGATGTAAAATAAAAAAATAAATATTTTTCACGTGTAATGATTTGACATGATTCTTACATTTAATAGTTCAACTACTAGCAACGAAAAACATACACAATTATCTAAGGTTAACATACCACTAGTTCTTGGAAAATACATTTAACAACTATAAATATAGGTATAAGAATAAATCAACCAATAGGGAAAATGTTTCTCAATTGAACAACCACATATCCTATATACATATGTATATACAATAATCTAAAATAATTGTAATATAAACATAGTTTGTCAGTTGAACAACTCTACAAAACTATACAGAGGTAGCATCAAGTTACACGTCATCCAGCATGACCCTCAACTTGCCAGACTCTTCCAACCTAACCCTACCATACTCTCATATAAACATGATTATCGCAATCTAACCATAAGGAAAACATGTAAGGGTAAATTAGTATTTAAAAGAACAAATATATAATAAGTATAAGAGTAAAGACAACTATATGACTAATCACCGACATGTAAACCATATCGCATAGTACCTCATGACCAACAACATAACAATACAACAATAACACCTCAACATGACATTCAACAACCTTACAAAGGTAAATAATTTAACAACATACACCAACAACTATGTCATTCAACAACAATACCACATAACATATGAACGACACCATAATCATTGCATCATATGCATCACACCTTAACTATATGAGTCGTTATACATTCACATACAGAGATCTCCTACAAGAAATGTGACAATCTAAGTGACTTCACCCTACTGTACCAACACGACCTTTTTACACCTATTAGATCAACAACTAGTTTGGATACCAATCCATAACATGATTTTTTGAATTTCGTCACTTCAACTTGGAAGTCTAGTATTATTGTTAGGATATAACAACTTGAATATGAGTCTATCACAATATTAGCTTGCATAAATAAGTTCTTTATGGAATTAACTTGTCGATTATCCTCTAAATACTATGTCCTTCAAGTACTCAATTATGAAAAAAAATGACCTTATATCTTATTCAGTTTGTCACTTTATATATGTATTCCTCGACCTTACTCACATACAAATTAACATTGGTCCCTTGGTAATTAGTATACCTCGACCAAACCTCTATATTGTGGTCACTTATAGTCAATATGTCTCGACTTGGCTTACATACTGCATCAATTAAGGTCCTAGAGGAGATTTAGCTATCTACTTTAAGAGTCAATTGCTCAAGAAGGGTTTTCAACAATTGGACTCGTAGAGCACCACACCAATATCCGCACAATGAGATGTCCAATTTTCAAAAACACCCTCTATTCTAGTCCTAATTTTATCAACACAACACGCCATAATGCCTAAATGCCTTAAGCACTCTTAGCATCATCGCCTCAACATTTTAATAGTCAATTATCTATATAAATTATCTCAGATCAATATACATAGAACCAACACCATTCAATCCATTCAATAATTTAATCATCAATATACATTATCTCATATTAATGTACGTATAAAGAACTAACAACATATATACAACATGTAATAAATAAAATTAACCTACACATGTTCACCATTAAATCAGTTAAACAACATATTTTTACAAGTTATTTCACACCCAACACCATCCAACTTGCACTTAGAGTGAATGAGATCAAAGAACCCCTAGAACAATCACGCTTAGCATGGTTAAACCCACACCCAACCCCATTTTAGGTAGACATGATTCTCTCTCCTCACATTTGACGTCACTCCATTGGTGCCCGTGTCAATCAAGTAGATAACTCTATCTCGGTCACATTGGGCACCACACAACTCAGGGCCCAACGTCAATTCTCTCACCTCACTTCCAACACCATTCAAGCCTTACTCAACATGACCAAGTTAAAGGTTTTTCTCTCCTTACGTTTGACACCACCAATCATGCGTCCAATGTAAATAAGATAGAAGGCCCTTAATTTGAGCCACATCCAATGCCATGAAGGCATGTCTGGTGTGATGATGAAATCTACACATAGTAGATCCATGAATTGGATATCCCTTCACTTCAAAATTGGGAAATCAAACATGCATTGCACCAAAACATATCTATACATCACCAATAACTCATATACAACAAGAAATTCAACATCCAACCATTAGTTTGATCAAAACCAACAAGTCCCCCTTAAACATGATTCATAAGTAATAAACCCCAACTCCAATCATTCAATTCAAATCAAACAACACAACAACATCTCTAGATGGAATCAATCAACATGCAAATCAACAACTCAACAAGAATTAACCTCCTATATATTCCCTTACCTTAAGATCACTCTGAAAAAGACGAAGAGGAATAAGAAAGCAGTTCTAAGCTCCTTCAAGAAAATCTTGCACGATCCAACAACTCTGATTCGTGGTTCTACTGACCTAAATCAACCATCACAGCTACTGAATACTCCGGGGAAAGAATCACTCTCTTAAGAGAAGGTTCTGAAATGAAGAGAAAACTCAAACTCTAGAGCACTTCTCTCTAGACCATTTCTCTAAGATTTCTTAAAATTAAACTTATAAAGTTCAATTATTAAAAGAAACCTTATATACCTTTTTTTCATGTCCAAATTAGATATATACCTAAAGAAACTCTCTAAACACCTAAAAAATCCTCGGGAATTCTCTAATTCCTAGAGTTTCTCAACAATAAATTTCAAAATCACTACAACATAAATATTGATAAAAATAACCAAACTAGGAAATTACATCACATGTTAAATCTAATTTTAAATAAGTTATATGAGAAAACTTTTCTTAATTTATGAAAAAAAAATCATTTTATTTTAGGCATAATTACATTTTAGATACATTAAATATCACTATTATACAATTGTAGTCATTTATATTCAAATTGTACAAATTAAGTCATTCAAGTAATGTAATTGTGTAATTTTGAGTCATAATAAATTACACATATATACATTTAATTAATATTTCTAACATGAGATGATGACACATAACAAATGACTTGTAGTTTGATACATACGCTAACATGAATTAATTACCTTTTAGTTTTTTGTTAGGTCTTTTTTTATGTATAGTACAAAGGGTAATCTTGTAAGTGGGAAACAACCAACCTGGAAAAGATGATATATAGAATATTAGTTTTTGAGACTTAATATTTAGTCATGTAAAGATTAGATACCTCTTATACAATTTATCCTCTTTCTTAATGATTTTATTTGGTAAAAAAAAAAAAAAAACACTTAGTTTGTCATGTATCCCCGACCAAAAATACAAGTGATGCTAACATATACGTTAAACAACAAAAGTCTGATTGAAAGACCAAATCATAGATTGCATTACATGAAGAATCTAGTTTATGCAATTAAACCCTAAAACTAAAAGACCACTTTGTAGACCAAAAGTGCGATTAAGCATTGCATCCACGAGTGTTTACCTAAACAAATATTGTGAAGACACAAAGGCAGTTTCTTCTGTAGTTTCAACCAAAAGTGAATAATTGTGCAAAGGAAATTGTACCTATAATAAGTTTAGAACCTACGAAAGAGGCTTATTTTCAAATGAAAGTGTTCCGTTAGTCGCGGTGCGTCTGTTCTTTTCCATCAAAACAATGCCATATGTTTCATATGCCACTTCCGTTCCTTTCAGTACAAGCAAACCGATTATAAATCTTTCAATTAAAATACACTTTTTTTTTTAAATATATAAAAATTATAATGAGGATAATACTACTTATACGTAAAATTATGTGTATATTATTACAATTTTCATCAACGAAGTTTTTCAATCCCCTACTATCATGATAAGTTTTTTTTATATAACCATTAAGGTAGATTAAATGTAAAGAATAAGTTAATGTTCTTTTTAATAGAAAGAATTACAAATCTTCTGAGTTTAGCCTATTCTTAAAATTTAAAATTCTAAGAACTAGATCATTTTCAATATTACATTCAACTTTAATTATAAATAACATAAGACAAATCATCAAGATAAAAAAGAATAATTAATATTATTATTTTTAATTAATATTATTATAAATTTAATTTTTATTTCAAATATACTCTTTTTTTTAAGTAATTATTATATTTAATACTATTAGTTATAAATGAATGCATAACAAATACATTTAATAATAAATGCAGGTATAATTTTTTTTTAATTCTAACAACTTTCAAAATTAATCATTGTTGTTTAATTTATTGTTTATAATTAAGATCGGACATAGTATTTTTTTTTTACAGATTTTGTGATATTTAATTGCGTTCATATATTGAAAGTAGTTTCTGTAATTCAAAAAATATTTTTCCTTGTGTTTTTTTTTCTTCTCATTAGCTCATTATTACCTTGTTTAAGTAAAAATAAGAATAATCGATGTCATTTCTTAGATTTAAGTAAGACTAAAAATAAAAGATTACTTAAAAATTCACTTAAATAGTAATAGTGGTGCTGAGGTGAGATTTTTAGAAAAATATTTTTAGCAATTAAGTGTTTGATATTTCTTGGATAAATGTTTTCATTCGTTCATAAAGCATTTTATGTAGGGCATCAAGAGTTGTTTAAAAAGACATTCAACAACTCTACACTTTTTCTTTTCAATTGAAAGTTAGATGCAACAAACGAAAAAGAAAAATCACTTCTTAACCTATAAATCCAAGCAATAACTAAATAAATTGTAATTTACATATAATACAAGACGATTTAACTCTTTTTTTTTTTCCCACCCCTCACGTCAAACACTTACTGGGTCACACGTCTTGGGTCTGGCCCACTTCAACTTATTCGACATTTTCTTGAGAGATACAATACACAAAACCATTACATCAAATAATAATATTAACCTATTTGGCCTTTGCATTATTTTTACATACTTTATCCTCAATATATATATATATATATATATATATATATATATAATTATCTGCGGGTTATTATTTTCTAAAATTACAATTTTTATTACAAAGTATTCGAGCTCTAAATAATTAAGTTAAGAGATATAATTGTTATCACTAATGTCAAGGAGTGTTGGTTATAATTGCCCATTACATATATTTGTAAGAAACCATAAATGTGGTTTTAGAGTGTTTTTTATTTTTATTTTTTTATAGTTGTAATTCTAAAGTATTAATATCTCTTTTAAATAACCATTAATACTACAATTGTATGAGTAATCCTTGGAAAATTAAAAATTATGTTTCATAAAATATAAAATTTTAGTACTTTAAAGGCTATTAAAAAAAAAAGTAATAGTTGAGCAACCAAATTGATTGTTTATTCGATTATAATTCACATATCACATAACATCGAACTAATTTGTCTAAACTTAAAAAAAATACAAAAATAAATACTTAAAAGTTATTAAAAAAATACTTATTTTTAAATAAAGAAATTTAGATTAATACACTAAAAAAATAAAAAATAAAAATAAATACTTGTTTTATTATAAAAAAAATACTTAAAAGAAAAAGATTTAACCAAACAGGACAATAATTACAATCTATAACAATGTATAAAAGACACTTCTTTAAGTTAAAAAAAATAAAGAAAAAAAAAACACTTCGTTTAATGAACTACGAAGATGTAATGTAACCAGTAACCACCCACACACCAAAAAAAAATTGTAACTATTTTTTTTATTCCATAACCACCCAACTGTAAAATTAATTCCTTTACACAATAGAGAATGTTTATTTTTATTTTTATTTTGGATAAATAATATGTAGAATTATATAACTAATTTATGAATCAATTCACGGTTTCCTAATCTTGGTACGAAAATCTTTAGAATATATATATATATATATATGTATGTATGTAAACACATGCCCCCTTGTGTTTCTGGGTTTGTGCTGAATCTTCGATATGTATTACTGTTACCTGTGCTCCCTCTGATCCTCAAGGTTGGTTCATTATTTTTCTGTTTTTAAATCTGTTCAATTTTCTAGTTCAATTTATGGGTACAACTTTAACATGTTCCCGAATTACCCAGATGATATCGTCACCTATTTGGGTTGCTTCTTCCCATTTTGAGACTGATTTTAATTAAAGCTATTGCATACTAGGAAGCAAAATTTATTTACTTTCTTAGCTGCAAACAATTATGACTAAAAGGGTAATTCAGATTCTGAGTTTTCTTCATTAGTCTACTTCTGTTTCATCTCTTCCCTTTTTCCCCATTTGGATTCTTATTGAATGAGTAGAGTATGAATTAATATTTTTTTTTCAAAATTTATTTGGTAGAGTAGAATTCTTGTTTTGATTCAATTCTCATTTCGACATTCAATTTATCTTTAGTAGATCAGTGGGTTTACTTTCTGAAATTTTCTACTTTTTCCCCTTCATATAACTCCAAAACAGATTATTTTTTATTTATTTATATTTACCTGGCAACTTATTAATAATCATGTGACATGTCGTGGCTATTCCTATATTTTCCCCTTGTGTGTTTCAAGATCAGCATCTGATCTGTGTCCATCAAGTTATTACATGTTATTATCCTTCTCTTTATTCAGATCTTAACAGTTATTGAAGTGGGTGTTGTGCTTGTTCTTTTTGTTTCTGCAGATTCTCTCTAACAAATGATTATCTGATGCAAATTCAAGTATGCTGCTGAAGTTCATGGATTTAGGGTTTCCAGCACATGCTCACAGTTGTGATTGACAGAGACACCACCGGGAATGCCAAAAAGATGTGCCTTCTTTGTTGCAGTGTTGTGGCTGAGATTCATAAGGTGATACTTTTGCTATTGATGCCCCACTTACTTAATGAGAGTGGACCACAAGTCTATACCTCATTCATTAGCTATTCCTTGATGCATAATAGGCACACAAGTTTTTTAAGAGTGCCTGTTCTGCCAACACACGATCCCTACAAAGACGGTTGAAACGCCTTTCTGCTATATGTATATAGTTTTATAGTTACTTATATGCACTTTATAATAGTAAATGATATAGAATTTAAGTGGGTTGTGAAAAATTTTATACTATTTTGAGGTCTCATATGGAGAGTAAGCCAAATGTGTTAATGCAAAGATACGAGTTAGGAAGATTACTTGGCCAGGGAACCTTTGGAAAGGTTTACTATGCTAGGAGTGCAATAACTAACCAGAGTGTGGCTATTAAAGTGATTGACAAAGATAAGATTACAAAAACAGGGCAAAGTGAACAAATCAGGCGCGAAATATCTGTTATGAGGCTGGCCAGACACCCCAATATAATACATCTTTTTGAGGTTATGGCGAACAAGAGTAAGATTTACTTTGTTATGGAATATGCTAAAGGTGGTGAGCTCTTCAACAAGGTGTCCAAAGGAAAACTCAAGGAAGATGTTGCACACAAGTATTTTAAGCAGCTAATCAATGCTGTGGATTATTGTCACAGTAGAGGCGTGTACCACCGAGACATAAAGCCTGAAAACATTCTGTTGGATGAAAATGGGAATCTGAAGGTCTCCGATTTCGGTTTAAGTGCACTCGTCGAATCCAAGAGACAGGATGGTATGCTTCATACACCTTGTGGCACACCTGCTTATGTTGCTCCTGAAGTCATCAAAAGGAAGGGATATGATGGTACCAAAGCTGATATTTGGTCTTGTGGAATAGTTCTTTTTGTCTTGTTGGCTGGTTATCTCCCTTTCCATGACCCAAATTTGATAGAGATGTATCGGAAGATAAGCAAAGCTGAATTAAAATGCCCTAATTGGTTCCCACCAGAAGTATGCAATTTATTGAGCATGATGTTGGATCCAAATCCTGACACTAGGATTCCCATATCTAATATTAGGGAATGTGGTTGGTTTAAGAAAGGACCAAATGTGAAAAACAAAAGACCTGTAGCGGAAAACAACACTGTCTCTTCTTCAGGTACAGTTCTTCCTGATCAAAATGATTGTGATGGTCTAGCAGCAGAAGCAAATGGAGAGTCAGTTGCGCCCTTAAGAATAAACGCCTTTGATATTATCTCCCGATCCGTGGGTTTTGATCTTTCTAGGTTCTTTGATGACAGTTTTCAGAAAAAGGAAGCAAGATTTAGTTCAAGGTTACCTGCCAATGTCATCATCTCCAAGCTGGAAGACATTGCTAAGCAACTGAGGATGAAAATAAAGAAAAAAGCTGCTGGTTTGTTGAAATTAGAAAGCACCGACGAAGGTAGAAAGGGGGTTTTATCCATTGATGCAGAGATCTTTGAGGTTACTCCTTGTTTCCACATGGTGGAGGTGAAAAAATCAGATGGAGATACATTGGAATATCAGAAAATATTGAAAGAGGATATTAGGCCTGCTCTTCAGGATATTGTTTGGGTCTGGCAAAGTGACCAACAATTACAATCACAACAGTCAGAGCAACAGCTACAGACAGATGACCAGCAGCAGCAACAACCACAGTCATAACCTGTTCTCGATTTTGAGATGTCATGCTTATTGCATTTCGATGAAATCCCAGTTTTTTTTTTCCTAAATTTTGTTTCTTGCATTTCATGATGCTATGACCTCAATGTAGCATTTTTTCCCCCTCATTTTTAGTTGTTTTCACCTTGTTGTAGCATATCTTTTCTCAAAATTTTGTTTGCAAAGTTGAAGTACACCATTTTTCAATTTTTCTTTATAACGAGTCTTAGGAACTTTTGTCCAGTTTTGATTGAATAAAAGTAGAATATAAATATATCTCAGGAGATTATTTACTGTACCCTTATTCACTTTAAAGGAATCAAATTCTAAATATATATACCTGCTTGCTATTGAGCCAGTCCACTCAAGCAAATATTATTACTCCAAACAAAATATGAATGCTCAAATGTGGAGGAGGGTTGCTTGAGGAACAAGCACGCTTGTGTCAGAAGATATATATTAGGTGGAATTGGATCCCTACACTTGATAATTGAATTGCATGAGGTACACTTCTAAATCTGATAGTAATTAATTTTCAGAAGGGATTTTCATGCTTCAATTTAATCCAAAATCAAATATTTTGAAAAGTTAGGATTTATCGGATTAAAATGTAACTGCAGAAGATCTCAATCTATATTGGGTTGTGATAGACATAGTAGTTTCTATTGGGTCCTCATGTTTCAAAGAAATGAAAACCTTCATAGTGAGTCTTGCTGGCCTAAAGTGTTGGTTGTTCATAAACACTGTCCAAAGCACATTTCCTCTTTTCATGCTACTTTCAAAGACCTTTATTCCCTTTATTATTGTTTTCAAATCATGGACTAGAATTTTGTTTAATGACATTTGATCGCAGAGTCCATTAACAGTAAGAAAGCTTGTCATTAAAGAGCAGAAGCAGACACTTAATTCTGTTTGCAGGCATGAGACATGTCACTTGAGTCTCAAATTAGAAGTACGGGATTCTAGTTTGATGTTTATTAGATCTTGGACTCTTTAACTATAACAACTAGCTTTCGTAGTATAATTCTTCCAAGATTCTTGCCAATTTTATATAAATATTTTGAGCTATTTTTTTATTTATAAATATTTTAACATGTTATTGTATTCATTTTTGTTTAGTACTGAAGTGGTGTCTCAAAGTGATAAATCTGATAATTCAATCATTGTTTTGTAGGTTATATAGACTAATTTGATAATAAAATTAAATTTAGTGATAGATTTTTTTTTAAGAGATTAATATCATTCCCACTAATTTTTAAAAGATAAAAGTGATAATATAGATCGTCCGGTAGGCAAATTCGGGGGAGAATACAAAGCAATTATCATAATAAGATGAATGCTACCCGACCAAGTTTTGAGACACCTTATCTCAATTTGTCCTCTGCTTGATACTTTGCAAAACCACTTCAGTCAAAGTCAATGTCCCATGTGCCAAAAGCACAAAAAAGTAAAGAGGCAGGGCCTGGTTTTCACAATCTCGAGGTTATCTTTGAACCTCCTCTATTTCTTTTAGTCTGCACTACAAATATTCTCCAACAACCTTTACACTATATGATGCAGAATGATCATGGAAAATCTTTAGAAATAGTGTTGCTACTCAAGCGTAACTCATTAATCAACGGTCATCACTTATCAATCATAAGAAATTTCAGGGCAAGAGTTATTGGTTAGTTATATTATTTACCTCCCAATGAGACTCGCACGTGAATTGAACATTGTGAATAATTAATTGTTGGCATGTTACTTTTTCATCTTTTTTCTCAAACTATCAAAGTAAAAAAATCAAAGCCAGAATATTTTATGGTTGTAACACTTAACAAGTTACATAACCTGTATCATGTGCAATCTTCTGAATTATGTCCAATTACTGGAATCTGAATTCATCTTGCCCAATACAGACTCATGAAAGAACATAAGAGAAATTTCATCTATACTCATTAACACTTTTTTACTAATACTCACTCTACTATTAGTTAAAAATCATAAATTTTAGTGGATCTTACTATTAAATCAAGAGAGAGACTCAATAAATGAGATATTAGACTCACAAAACTTATGATTTTATCAACCAATAAAAAGTGTTTAAGAGAGTGTCAGTTATATTTCTCGGAACAAAAAAGTGATATTAAAAAGTTGACAATATTTAAGGTGGAGAACATATGACAAGTTTCATATGTCATGTGCATGCTTACTAACTCTTCCCAATTATGTCAAATTAACTGGAAACTAAACTATTCTGCCTGGTACAAACTCCTTTGAACATAAATATGGTAGATAGAAAAATTAGCACTAATCAAACCTTGTGAAAAGAAACAAGATTATATTTATTTGTTCAGAATTCTCCATTCTTACAAATTAATTTGTTGTGGCCTGTGATCAATAACTGCTTTGCGTGACCCATATCAGAGAAAGATAATAGGGCATGACAAAGCCTTATAATTGGACAAAGTTGGGGGAGTTTGTTAAGTCAATAAAATCAGTACCAATAGACGAGGAAACTCTTCTCTTCTTCCTATCCAAAACACTTCTGCAACTAGGAGAAGGGGTAGACAAATCAATAATCTCAGCATCATGGGGCACAATATATGTGCTACTGACATCTCGAATTTTATCTTCTGCCAATGTTGCACCTGATTGTTCAGGTTCTGGTTGACAAAAATCAGCACCACTCTTATCCTCCACACCCATAAAATCAGCTTCTTCAATAGTCTCTATTCTTGGCAATAAAGTTGCTGATGATGATTTCATTGTCATTGGTGTTGTAGAACTAAATGGTTGGAGCTGCTCTTGTGAAGCAAATATTTGTTTTCTTGCTTCAGATTCTTTGTTCTGTTCAAATGTTTCACTAATATTGTCCCTGTGATTTGAATTTTTTGGTGAATCAGGAATCACAAAATCATCACTCACATCTGGAACAGAATCACTTGTTCTAGTATTATTATTATTATTATTATTATCAAATTCTACTTCATCAATATTATCATCTTCATTCTCTGACAAACTGTCGTTGTTTTCACTATAACATGGAAGTTCATCCAGAGAGCCAATCTTGATCTTCATGTGCACTGGCAGGCTCGGGCAACCAGCACAGTGTTTCATGTACTTGGTAGAGAAGAAGTTTACAGTGATATTCATGCTGTGATCATTTGTACCATGTGAGAACCATAAACTAAGTCATACAATTCCATCAAAAAACAATGTCCATTCCTAACTCAATGGAGATAGAGACCATACCTCTGCCAGGATGGAAGGTTGAGCATTGTGTATGCAAGTTTAATCTTGTTGGCGATTCCTGAGAGAGATTTAAAACCAACAGCTGCCTTCCTTACGGCCAACGATTCAACCGGGTGCTGCCAAGCCCATTCAAACTGCAAAGCCCCGAATTGAATTAACTATCTTAACATTTGGCATTTAAATAACATAATCAAGGTCAGTTGGCGGTGCAACCAACGAGGGGATTCTGCCAATCAACTTCCTTACACCAGTGACTCGCACAAATGTCAGACTCCTAGGTCCGTGTTTTAAGATGGCCAAATGGGGAGCCTACAAGGCAATAACTAGGGCTTGCAAGTGTTGAGGCACGAGGAGTCTTGCCAAACTTCTCAAGCTAGTGACAAACAGACTCGTTAACCCAAAAAATCACAAAGAATAAAAAGTTGAAATGACATAAACAAAAAATGATAAGTGTTAGAATTTGAGCCCAGTGTCCATATTTTCCACGTCTGATCCTTCAAATGAAAATTCCAAAGGCACCGCATACTCATATAAGGGATTGCATAAGTTAACTACAAAGGCACAAACTAAAACCTAAGTCTTAAACCCTAAACTCACAAGCTTTTAGCATTCATAATATGTCCTCATGCTTAGCATTTCATGAATTTAACTTGCTCAAGCAACCACAAACTTCAATCATAAATTTTCAAACAATTTTAGCCAAAACATGACATATAGAAAGCAGAATCAAATTCAAACCTGAAGGGCAGAGACATTTGTTGGAAAGCCATATATGCACAAAACCATCTCCCAAGGCCTTCTCTTCTTCGTCCTCCAAGCTCCACATCCAATTTCCCCATTGTGTTGCCTGATCCGGCGCCTCGGATTCACCGTGAATCTGAAATTGCATACACGGAAACATAAACACAAAGAGTAAAAGCATAAGATCCATAACAAAATAAACAAGTTGAATCAGAAACCTGTAAGAAAATAGGTTAAATACCCAAACATTTCTACCAAAGAAAAATTGAAAATTTTTCAACAAATTAGCAGCACAAAGACTTCTAACTGAACAAGTCTAGAATCCATCACAAAATAAACAAGTTCGAGCAGAAACCTTGAAAAAAAAAAAGTTAAATACCCAGCATTTCTCAGAGAAAAATTGATTTTAAAAAAAAAAAAAAATAGCAACACAAGAGAATCATCACATCAAAAAGGCACCGATTTGAAGCGAAAAAAAAAAAAAAAAATCCTACAAACCCAAAATTTGAATGAAGAAAAAACAAAAGGGGTTAAGGTGATTTTCGGATTGAGCATAAGGGTGTGATCAAAATTGGATCTTGATTGAGAGACGTGAGAGAATAACCCTATGTAAGTGTGGCCTTTGTAGCGGGGACTGAGAGAGGCCAAAAGGTAGCAAGCATAGAACCCATCTCCTTCAGAACCCTCCTTTTGATTTTGGTTTTGGTCATGGCTATGCTCTTCTTCTTCTTCTTCTTCTTCTTTTACCACAGTTGCATGTGCAGCAGATGCAACCTTTTTCTTCCGCATCTCTCTCTCTCTCTCTCTCTCTCGCTAATGAAATTCGACCGTTGACAGTGTTAGATTTATGTGTCTCTCAGATCGCACAAGATCACGCCCATTTTAAAAAATGAAATAACATTTTAAAAAATGCATATTCCACGTTTTGTGATTTTGGCTTTAAAAAAAATTGCTAGTGTAGTGTAATTATCAATTTCAAATTTGGAATTCTAAAATTTTTTGAATTGATTTTAATATATGTTATCATTGTTAATTATTATTTTTCTATATTATACGACTCGTAGTACTATATTATTAAAATTATTAAATGTAAAAAAAAAATGTTTTAGGTTCAAATATCGTTATCATTATAGAAAATAATTAACTGTAATAATTATCACTTAATAATCTGATAAATAATAAATTATTAAAATTATCATTTCTTTATCCTCATATTGCTTTAAACTTATCAACAGAATGGTGATAGAATTAGATTCAAATGTAAGAGATTCTTTTTCACGATGACTCGAGTCTCAAAGTTTCATTTTCCTCGTCCTCATGCTACCTATCATTTTCATCATTTATGCAAAAATCTTCTATAAAATTTTCCTCCAATTTACTCATTCGTTCACCCAAATTTTTTTACTTTAGCTTCACGATAAAAATTATCCTCCGATTTCATCTACTTTATGCTCCAATATATAGAAACTCTTGCCATTGCAAAATCATCCTAGCTAGTCTTAAGTAGATTCCCTTTCTTTCAGTAGGTCGAACCAAAATGATATAACACTAAAATTCGAATTTAACAGTAGAATCTGTCCCAGAATTTTTAACAACTCTTGCATAGAATATACCAGTCCAAACAACTGCTGAATACACCATTTAATTATTGAGTAACTAAATCATGAAATATATTATTGGTTCAAGTCATGGCATGAACTTCCTTGATTTAATGTATTTTTAAAAAAGAAAAAAAGCAAAAAGATCCTCTCATTGGAGTGTTAATTTTTTTTTTTTGGTTTTGTTTTTACTTAGTTCACCATTTAATTATGAGTAATGAACTAATGATACGTATAGCGCAAAATTATATAACATTTTTTATAACATCACTTATCGTATCTATATCACTCCAAAATAAATGAAGTGAGAGAAAAATAAATAAATAAATAAGTGTTAGTGTACAATTTTGTTGGGTATATATGATTTCTCATTACTTTTTAATTATTTATCATTATAAATAAGAAAATCAGACACATTTTAGTCACAAATGTTTCATAAATACACCAAGTCCCTAGATTGTGGCCTTGCATGGGGCATGTGCTCAAAATTAATCAAAATAACCAAGAAAATCTCAATAATGATTGCAGTGATAACTGATCAATGAATATTTTCTTTTTGACAGGTTTGGTAGTATGCAAGACAATCTTTCCTCTCTCCCTTCCATTTTCAATTTTGATCACTTTTAATCATCCTACATCTCTTGCAGTACCAAAGTCAATGGACATAAACATTTTGTAAAAGAAAAAAAAATGCAATAAATTATACAGTATATCTCAAATAAAGAACTTATAACACTCTGGCATAACAAAAGGTGTTACAATAAAAGTCAAACTAAGAAATAGCAATGACACTAATAAGGAGAAAAATATCTCGTTCCAAATGTTACATAACTCGGTAATTCTGTACCCTGTAATTATCAAGACAAATTAACCCATCCTTGATTGTGACAATCAATGCAAGGTGATACAATATTCACATGCCACTGCTCTCCAGAGATGTATAATCTAGATAAACCACCAGAATATAAATTTTCCCAGTTAGAAAGATCATTTGACACTCCAACCAATGGTTCATATAGATAGGTACTAATCCCCATTACGATGTAATATCAAATATGATACTGGCCAAAAATTAGCTTCAGATCTTTGATTTAGTGCCTACTTATCCTTTCAAAACATTCCATTTTGCTAACATCCGGTACACTGGATGCAAGAGACAGAAGAGTCAAGGAAAACCAAGATGGATGCTAGTGAAATATTGACACTTAGGGGGAAAAAAATTAGACACCATTAGCATGCTTGGGAACAAAAATTACTTGGTCACTTTATTTTCAGTTTCTCTTTGTTTCGGTTTAAGAAGTAATTTCAAGGACCCTTTGGAATTTGGAAAGGATAGAAATATCATCAAACATGAAGCTAATTTACTCGGGGGAAGCTTCCTTTTGCCAAACATCATCAGAAATTCCTGTTTTAGAAACCAATTTGTTCTTTCTCTTTTACAAGAAACTTAAAAACAGATTTTTCTGACATGCAATATAGAGACACTCAATAACCCTTTAATCCACCCAATTTTCCATGTTATTCTATACTAAAATCCCAATCCCAAATAACTATTGAGTATAGGAAAAATGCAACAACTCACTTATCCTATTCCTCCCCATCTAAAACACCAAATACCTCGTGTAGCTAAACAACAATAATACGTATAAGTTATAACCAAATCTCATTGAATCCAACAAGATAAGATTCCCCCTATTGCACTTGGTTAAGCCAACAGAATATCGTGTTCACTTCACCTACAAAAATTTTATTCTGCGTGAACCGAGAACAAACAAGAATCTCAAGAAAAACCCACATTGACACTAACAATTTTACATGAAACATGAGTCAAGTAACAACCCAGCAATCCAGAACAGACAGAAACAGTAAAAAGGAACACTTCATATGATGATATTTCAAGAAAATAGGCTTCATTAATCTTCATTATCATTCCAGTTATTACACTTATACCCATGGTCCTAAATTGCATTTGCAGTGAACCGACAAAACCATTATGCTGCGGCCGCAATTCAAAACCATGCTACACCCTTCAAAAACCAACAAGAACACCAACACTATGAACAACAACATCTATGATACACAGCATCCAAATTGACCCTAAAAATTACAATATCCGAGGCAACGTTCAATCACCCAATTTGGGTCCACAGGGATCATGGAACTGAACAAGGGTAAGTGGATAACACACAACAATCACATCAACCATCACGATCTCTTCAAATGCCTCCAAAGATAACGCCCACTCGCCATGTCCACGAAGGTCCAGAACCCAGACTCCAAAGCAGCGCGAACCTGCATGCACAAATTTAGGGCTATGAGAAAAGGACAACACTTTCGTGAAATTGAGGCAAAAGGGTGAAATGGGTGAACCTTGGAAGTTCCATTCAAGGAAGGGTCGGAAGAGTCTGAGATTTTGGGGTTGGTGAGAACAGTTCCGTCACCGTCGTCGATCTGAGGCTGAGATCTGAGGTTTCTGATGACGAAGAATCCGGCGAGGGTTGCCGACAGGAATATCAGAATGAACCTCAGAGGACACATTTTTTTTTTTTTTCAATGAAGAAAGAAAATGTGATTCAGAAATGTGTTTGCGTGTGTGGTGCACACTATTGGACCCAAAAATACAAGAGGGGTTAATCTTAATAATTTCCCTTAAGGGTGCTGTTAAAAAGATTATTAGTATATTATATTAATTAATTAATGTATTATTAATATGTAAGTGTAGTGGACATTGGACAGTGGACACCCAATAGGAATGACCACACGTGGTTGGTGGGTGGGTTCACAATTCAGATCATATATTTTGTCAAACCCTCTACAAAAGATTATTAAGATAATGACACTTGCCAAAGTTTAATTTCAGCTTTTGAGCACATCCATACACATTTCTTAAAAATGTTTAGTAAACTGACTTTAATTGGTATCCAACCGTTTATAGTATGGTTGGATAGAAAATTTAAATAGAATAATTTATTTATTTGAAAAAATTTAAAAATTTTTAGGTGAAATATCTTGTTTGAACAAAAAATTTATAAGAAATTTAAAATTTAAGTATTTATAAAATTTTTTGAAATTCTAAAATTTTAAATTTTCAGGTTA